CGGTGAGAGGGGTTGACTAGATAATATCTAGGGTTCATTCCAGCCCTAAATCTATGATCTTGTGAAATCTACACCCTAAAGCATGACATGAGATATATCATGGCCAGACTATGCCAAGGGATTTCAGGTGGAGAATAAGGATCTGACCCCTCTCATGGACCCTATGTTATAAAAGGAGCTAGCCATTCACAGATGGCTTTCCTTGGGTCAGGGATTGGGGGAGCATCTCTTGATGCTCCGATGAAATACAACAAAGCTGTGTGTTCCCTTTGGAGCATCACATTCAGCTCTGCAGGAGTGGCTACAGAGCCAGGAAAGTCTGGAGGTCAAAAGATGTTAACAGGTTATGTGGTTATTCCCTCACCAGTCACCAACTCTGTGCTTTTTGGTTTCTTTCTTTTCATCACTCTGAGTTTTTTTTTTAAATGGCAGTTTACAAAATTCAGTAGCTCTAGCACCCTTATACAGATATCTAATGAATATCTTCTCCTGGGGGCACTTCCCCAGCTGGAATACTGAATACCAGGGGAAAAGGGTAGAGCCTCCCCTAGGCAAAGGCCCCTTGTGACTACAGATACAAAGGTGGGTAGAGACCCTGGCCAGCATTTAGAGATGGGAGAGATGGGAGAGCCAAGAGAGCCCTACTTCCCATGCTGCTTGTAGGGTTATCTTGGAAGACAAGTGCCTCCAGGTATATACCTTGAATGGTCTGCTCACCATCCCCTACATACACACACTGACATACACAAACACATGACCCTTAAGAGCTTACTGCAGAGTGCTCCAAGAGAACGCTCCCTCTGCTTCTTCTTTGTTATAAGTCTCCTTTCGTTAAGAGGTGCGTGGCCTCCCTGTCCTACCCCCACGCAAACACTGTTGCCCTCGCTCCCCGATCCCACGCACTTCTTTTTTTTCTGGAGCATTCTCCTCCTGATCTGGGACCCCAAACCCAGACTTCCTGGCTGTTGAGACTCTCTATCCAAGGCATTTGGCTTGAGTAGGGTCCTGTGGGAGTCTCAGTTGCTTTTTAGAAGAGAATGAAAAAGACGGGGGGAATGGTTTGGATCTAATAATACAGCTACCACACTGCACCCCACCGTGATCACACTTCTGTTAGGAGAGCTGGGAATATGTTAATTAAGCCTTAACACCCCTTCCTCCCAGCCAGAGAAGTATTTTTAGACTCCTTTTCCAGGTGGGCCTCCTAAGCCTCTGACCCAGGCAGCCTTGCAAGGGAAGCTTCTCAGGCACCCTTTAAGGTCCCTGATTATTATAACAATTCTACATTCTTCCCTATGGAGGGGTGAGAGTGTAATAAAGGTAAGGAGGTCCTAAAGGGCAGCTTCAGCTACCCAAAGGTCTGTACCCAATCTTATGCTCCTGGTCTGTGAGGCCAACGGGAGGTGCCACGGCAGTGCCAAACCCAGCACTGTAGAATGTCTGGGAGCCTGGCGGCCCCTATTCACATGTGCACAGTAGTCTAGTAGAGAGTAGCACATGTGGGCAATGAGTAGAAGTACCTTCTTTTTGTCCCTTACCCGAGATCCTCCATCTTGTTTCTGTGCATGTGCCCTGACTGTCTTCCATGCCCGGCTTGACATCCTGAGTTCAAATCCTGGCTCAGATACTTACTAGCTGAGTGACCCTGAGCAAGTCACTCGACTATTATCTGCCTTTGGTTCCTCATCCGTAAATGAATAACACCAATAGCACCTACCTCCCAGGGTTGTGTGAACATAAAGTTCTTTGCAAACTTTAAAGCATTATATATAAATGCTAGCTATTATGTATTATGTATATACTTAAATATGTCCATGCTTTCTCTTCCATTAAAAAGTGGGCTCCTTGAAGGCAAGGATGTTTCCTCCTTGTCTTTGTATGCCCAGCACTTGGTACACTGCCTGCTAAGTGCTTAACAAATGCTTTTTTGATTGAGGAATTGCCATACGTATAGAACGGATCTCCCATTTCAAAACATCCCTTATAATTGTAATCAAGACCCTGACTGCCTTATCACCTATATGGTCTTAGAGGCAAAGAGTATACAGAGTCCAACCCTGTCTCTGAACCACGAATCCTGTGTCCCAGTGGAGTAAGACATTGTAGCATTTAATAATGATTTCCTGAGCCTCCAGCCCTGGGGTGCTTCCACTCCAAACAGGTGGCCTGTAGCATGGCCACATCATCTGTAATTATAGCTTAGCATTTGCCTCCTCAAAAGAAGACTGGAAAATTCCTCCTTTCCTCCCCACTCTGCCCCAACCAGTTGCAGAAAGACGACGGACTGAGTGAATAGATTAAAATACTGCAGTGAATTTATCTGGAGAGTCCTGAAATTCTACTTGTTCCTTTTTTCTTTTAGGATCACCTAGTCCAGAGGTTCTTAGCTTGGGGTACCCAGGCTGATTTCAGGGGATCTGTGATCTTGGATGGGAAAAAAAATCACATCTTTATGTTAATATAACTAATTTCCTTTGTAATCTTATAGATTAAATTTTATTCATTTTAAAGCATCATTCTGGTAATAGGCTTGTAATAATATAATAATAGTTCATAGGTTTCACTAAATTGCCAAAGACCTCCATGATACAAAAATGGTTAAGAGCCTCTGAACTAGTTCAACATCCTAATTTTACACAGGGAAACTGAGGCTCAGAGAGATGCAGTGACTTGTCCGAAGTTATGCAAGAAATGAAGAGCAGAGGCAGCAACTGAACCTGGTCTTCCAACCCTAGACCCAAAGCGCAACACCAAATTTCCCCTCCAAGAAACTAGTACCAACAGTATACTTTCATCTTGAAGCAGGGTGGTACAAGAAATCCTGCAAACAGTACTGAGCACAGGCACCTTTGCCAGATGCCTCCTACCTTCATAGTGTGACTCGATCCATGGGGGCTGGAGAGAGCTTTCTTTCCCAAGGGGGAGGCTTGGGATCTCCTCAAAAATCTCTCCAGCTTGTTCCGCTCAAGGGGCTCAGGAAAGCCCTGGGTAGCAGCTGGCAGCTCCCTCCGAGCCAGACTAGGTGGTGCTATCACAGGGTCCTCCCCCAGTTCTAAGGCAGCAGCTCCAGGATGGAACTCAGGGGAGAAGATAGAGGAGGCTGAGTGTGAGTGATGGGGGCTGCTCACTCAGCAGGTGCTGGTGCTGGTGTTGATGGGAAGGATGGGAAAAGCTTGCCTGGGAGTCTCTCTTAGCCCGTTTGGAGCACCTCCTTGATAAGACGCCAGTTCTACATTCCACTCACCTCACTACCTTTCCCACCCTGACACCAGGCTAAGATGAGTCACAGCAAAGGAGCACAGGCTTCCAACTGGGTAATTTTTTTTGGTTGCTTGGGCTCTGCTCCTATTTAGGTTTGGTGTTTTTTTCCTCTTGATCCTTTGAGAGTTCCCCCTTCTGCCCTTCCTATCTCTTCAGCATCTCTCCTCTCTGACCCAAAGTTTCCTTTCCCTTGAAAGGTCACCCTCAACCACTCCATGAACCAGAGGCAGCGACAGGTGTCTATTCCCTTCAGGAGATCTCAGGGTACTCCAAAGAGCATTAGTTCATAGATACCTGGGGACCCCTTGTCCCTGCTGTACCCCTTTCCCAGAGAGTTACATTGAGGGAGTACTCACAAGGGATGAAGTTTGCAAGTCCGCTTCACAAGTTGGAAGAAAACCTGGAGCTGTTCAGACACTACTTTCTCCCCAAACCCACTGTCTTCTCTCAAGATGGTCTTTTACTGACTAACAAACAGCCTTGTATACGAGTGGGTGGATAGGTTCTCATCCAAAAAGACTGATTGTTTTATATTGGGCTTCATGCCACCTGCTGAGACCTGGGGAGGGCACTCAGTCTATTTTTGGTGAGTGCCTTTTTGTGAATGTCTAATAGATACATAAGGGAGCTTGGGACAATTAAGACAAGAATCACGTGGGCGAGGAAACATCAGAAGAGAGACTGATCTAAGTAAACTGGGCTCTGTCCAAGGGGGTGGAGGGTGAGGCTAGGAAAACCATAGGAGAAAGAAGCAGGAAACAGGAAGCTGCCTCCCTCCTACCCCCCAGCCCTCTAAGCAGCACCTCTTCTGACCACCACTGCTCCTGACCAAGGTCACGGGGAACTCAGATGAGACTCACATGTGTATAATCTGAGTGTTGTCCCATTCCTAAGGCAAAGACAAGGGACTAAGAGATCTCTTGGAGCCCTTAAAGACACTTTATGGAGCCCACCCTGCAGCCCATAAGCTGTCAGCCTTCATTGCCTATTTCACCTCTACCTTGTGACATCTCTTTCATTATGGTGTTGTTATTGAACTTTTTATGGGTGCTGGTCTTGTCCTTGAGGGCAACGGCCATGCATTACATGTATTCCTTGTACCTCTGCAGCTCCTAGGATAATGCTGTGTTTTGTTGCTATGGTTAGTTGTGTCTGACTCTTTGTGACCCCATTTGGGGTTTTCTTGGCAAAGATAGTGGAGTGGTTTGCCATTTTCTTTTCCAGCTCATTATACAGATAAGTAAACTGAGGCAAACAGGGTTAAGTGACTTGGCCAAGGCCACACAGCTAGTGTCTGAGGCCAGATTTTAACCCAGGAAGATGAGTCTTTCTGACTCCAGGCCTAACATTCTATCTACTGTACCACCTAGCTGCCCTACAGTAGGTATTCAATAAATACTTGTTGGGTGGATGAGAAAGTCACTTCCCCTTCATGGGCCCCAGTTTCCTCACCTGTAAATGAGGGAATTGGATTAGATGAGTTCTAAGGTCCTTTCTAGTTCTGAGATCCTATGATTTCCCCTCCTCCTTAGGATTCCATCTTCGTCCCTTCAGCTGCCCTCACTGGATGATTTACCCTGAGTTCACCAGGATACAAACCTTGATGCAGGGATGAGGGGGCTTGATTGGCTTCAGTGCCTCCTCACTAGGGACAACCCTGAGGACCAGGTACCCCCTCAGACCAGATCAGACCCCAGAGAGAACAGGCTCAGGAAAATGGAGAATAACCAACATCTTACCATCTGGGGGATCTGGATTTGGATGTCATTGGTGCTGTCTAAGGGTAAGCTGCTCCCCTCTTGGGGACCCTCAAGGTATTTCTGGCTTTTCACCGAGAGGGAAAAGAAGTCCTTGCCTGCCATCTTCAGCTCGACCATGTGGTGGCTGTCTCCGTTCTGGTTCTGTCATGGGAAAGAAAACAAGGAAGGAATGTTGAAAAAGGTCCTGGAAAATTGAGCAAGGTTTTTTGTTTTGTTTTGTTTTGTTTTTAAATCTAGGCAGCTTACTTGTTAAGAAATAATAACCACTAGTATTTGTACAAGGCATTTCATACTTTTCAGTGCTTTTATATATGTTATCTCACTTGACCCTCACATCAGCTGGGTGGGACACACAGGGAAGGTATTATTAACCCCATTTTGTAATTGAAAAAGCAGGCTCAGCGGGGCAGTCCAAGGTCACAGAGGCATCTCCAACTTTCCCTTGGATGGATTTTCAGGGTGGTTGTGGGAGTAAAGTCCATCCGAAATTCTCCCTGAGTTCAGTCTCATACTCCATCCGATTCAAGATTCTATCAACAAGAGCTTAAGGACCTTTTGGGAGTTCATGGTAGTTAATTTCCATGAGCTGCTCCTTAAAGATTAGGGGTATCTTTTAATTCCTAGTAACACTTAATAGCTTGCTAATTAAAAAGTAGGAATATGATAAAAGGTCCTTCAGAAGGATTTATCAAGGAACTGAGCTCATTATGGGGGGATAGACCTGGGTTCCAGTCCTACTTCTGACACATACTGTGTGACCCTGGTCAAGTCACTGTACTGGAAGTGCCCTAGGCAATCCTTTAAGACTATAAATTACATAGATTAGAAGACACCAAATGGCACTGAAAGAAGTTTCTTCCTTATACCAGAGAAATCATAGGTCCAGTCCCTATTCTTGTCCCCTGTGTTAAAGAAAAAGAAAAAGAAATAGTCCCTACCCTCAAAGAGCTTACATTCTATTGAAAAGAAACAATTTTGTTGTTGTTGTGTCAATTAGTTGTGTCTGACTCTTCATGACCCTATTTGGGGTTTTCCTGGCAAAGATACTGGCAAAGAGTGGTTTGCCATTTCCTTCTCTAGCTCATTTTACAGATGAGGAAAATGAGGCAAACAGGGTCGAGTGATTTGCCCAGGGTCACACTGCTAGTAAGACTTACATTCTATTAGAAGGAAACAATATGTACACAGAAAATTTAATACAAAATACAAATAAAATAATTTTCCCAGGAGAGGGAGTGTTCAGGGAATGGAGAGGGGATGGCACTTGAGATGAACTCTGAAGGAAGTTGGGTTCTAAGAGATGGGAAAAGGATTCATTCTAGGCATGGGGGAGATGGAGTGTTTTGTACTCCGAACAGAAAGTTCGGACCAATTTGGTCGCAGTGTAGAGTGACCAAAGGAGAGTCACATGAAAGAGGCCTAGAAAGGTGAGGTGAAGGGGAAGCTAGGTGGCAAAGTGGATAGAGCACCGGCCCTGGAGTCAGGAGGACCTGAGTTCATTGACGCTAGCTGTGTGACCCTGGGCAAGTCACTTAACCCCAATTGCCACGCCAAAAAAAAAATAATAATAATAATAAAAAAATAAAGAAAGGTGGGGTGATGTCAGATTGCGAGGAGCTGTGAAAGCCAAACAGGAGTCTGTATTTGCTTCTAGAGGTGGGAGGGAGCAATCGGAACTTCTCGGGCAGGGTAGAGACAAGACCAGACTCGTGCCCTGGGAATGTCAGCTTGGTAGCCGAGTGCAGGATGGATCAGGGATGGGAGAGAGGGGATGCAGCCAGGTAGTCAGCAAGCATCTATATAGCACTTAGCATGTGCCAGGCACTGTGCTGGGATGCAGGGAACCGATGAGAAAGCTATTGCAATAGTTCAGGCAATAGAAAAGGAGGGTGTAAATTAAGGTGGAGGGGGTGTGTGTGTGTGTGTGTGTGTGTGTGTGTGTGTGTGTGTCTGTGTGTGTGTGTGTGTTCCTGAAGGACAAACAACAACATAGCCTTAATCAATGAATGAGCATTGCCTCAGTCAAAATGAGACCTTGGAGAAACCTTAGCTTAAAAAGGCCAAGGTCTCCCATTGCATCTGGGGCCATCTCCAGTCGTCCTGATCTATCTATATGGCTCTGGAGGAGAAAGAGAGGCTGGTAACTTTGCACAGCTCTCCCCTCACTTAAATCCAATTCACTTGCAAGTCATGGCATGACCTTCCTGATGTCATGGTTCTCTTCGAGAACAAAGGACCAACAACAACAACAACAACAACAACAACTTGTGTGTGTGTGTGTGTAGCAGGTAGATTTACTGAGGAGGAAGGATCAACAAGACTTGGCAGCTGATCCATCTGGGGAAAGAAGGTGATGGTAACTCCAAGGCTGCAAATCTGGGTCACTCAGAAGGATGGTGACACCCTCAACAGAAATAAGGAAGTTAAGAATAGAAAATAGTGAAGACGGAGGATAGACACATTATAAGTCTGTGGGGAAAAGGTGCTATTTAGAAACAAATGAGGTGGCAACACACTTTGAAAGATGAGTGATGGTAGTGCTCATGTAAAATCACCAGGAGGGGGTGGGGAGTAAGTAAAATAAGATAAACAGCAAACCCATTACAAAATACTATGTTCTAATGATTCCGAAAAACAGAAAAAGACCATAGACCTTAGCTTCAGTTGGTTGGTCTATGATCTGCCTATTGGCTCAAGCCAAAGCTAATGGGATTAATGGTGACCAATATTCCTAAATAGGTTTCCTCCTTTGGGCTGGGTTAGTCTTACCCTCAGACACTTATCTACAAATGGGGATATTTCTCTGTATGGATTATAGAATATATACAAACCACCACATTGGATCCAGAAATAAAACCCAGGATTTAGCACATAGTGTAGGTGCTTAATTTAATTAGTGTTTGTTGAATTAATGAAAAAAAAAATGATTGGGTTTTTTTTTCCTTTTTGATCTACTTAACACCAAATAATTAATTAGACTAACTGAATTTTTTACTTTTCAGCTTTGTTGTTATTGTTGCAGACATAGCCCAAGAGGGAGAAAAAGCAGTGGCAGAAGATGAGTGTCTGTTACATTTCCTTGAAATAATTTCTTTAAAAATGAACAGAAAGGAAAAGAGCCACAAGGAGAGGTCAGTTTTAGTCAATGGTACCATCTTCTAATGTATCCAAATGCTCTGCATCTGCTGCCTAGGAATTCTTCTCATGAGGTGGTTGGGGAAAATGGGATGATGTGAGACCTTTGAGCATTTTGTGGACAATGGGCAAAATAAAGTCAAAATGGTACTGTTAGTAGAGGAAACACCTTGGGTGTCAAGGTTAAGAACAGGGACAGATGGGCTTCTTTTAAGTAGCTCTGTTCAAACCCCCTTCAGCCCAACTCAGAGCAATAAAGGGCCCATATTTATCAGCCAGAGCTAAAAGGAAAGAAACATTAATGCTGAGATGGTACTAACAAAAAGGGTCATTTTGCTGCTCTGTAAACAGCTTACTGGGCTTTCAGGGACTGAGTGCCTTTTTTCAGAGTTCTCAGCAGTTCCCTGCTCCTTGGAAACCCTCCCTCTTTAATCCTGTTGATGATGGTGATATCTGCTAATTACAGAATTCATATAAATGAGATAGGTCAATAAGCCACTCCACTGATGTTTAATCTCCTCAACCCAGTGATTCTGAAGTGTCTCTCTAGTCCCTTCCTCCTTTTCCTCAAACCATACCACCATTAACACCCCCCACCCACCAACCCATAGATACTCATCTTTTCCCTTGTTCAACCCTAGCATGCTTACCTTTTCCAGTGGGAACTTCAATAAATCCAGGCTCTCTACACTGTGCCTTTGGATCCTCTTAGGCCTGGCGCCTGGAAAGATAATGGGGACCACAGTCATTTCTAGCCCTTCCACACACCTATGGTGGTGTCTTAGTCAGCAAAAATGTTCAGGACCTGGGCTATTTTGGGTAGTTGAATTTTGTTGTTAACTTGGGGTTAAGCAGAAAACCTTTGAAGCCCTGTTAACAAGCTTTTCCAGTCTAATGACCAGTCATTGCTTCCTTGTGTGCTTACTAAGGGTTTTGGCTAGCCCTAAATAGGTTTTCCTCATTTGGGTAGAGCCCTTAGGTATTTTACCACGTTCAGGATCTGATTTTACCAGGTTCAGGCTCTGAACATTAGTGATCTTCACAATAGGACTAGGGTTAGAGAAGATAAAGGAGATTGGGCTAAACCTAGTAAGTTACTTTTTAAATAAATCTCTCATCTTAGCCTTGCTCTCTCATTTTCTTCATTCTCTTAGAAGTCAAATATAGACAATGTTTCTATATTTTTTGAGTAGCAGAGAACCATAGATGTAGACCTGGATGGGGACCTTACAAAGCATATAGTCTAACCCTCTCATTCTAGAGATGAGGAAACTGAGGCCCAGGAAAAATAATTGGTTAATCAAGGTTTTACTCTATGCAGTGACAACTATACCCTTAGAGCACGTCTAAAAAATGGGATGCCAGCTGCCTTTGACGAATTCAAATCACCTGGACCAGATGAACCACATCCTTGGGTTCTGAAAGAGCTGGCTGATGTAATTGCTGAGTCACTGTGGGTAACAGTTGAAAGATCATGGAAAACGGGAGAAGTACCACAGAACTGGAGAAGGCAAATATTGTCCCAACTTTCAAAAAGTTGCAGGGGAGTGGGGTGGTGGAACAGGCTAGCTACGTTGAAGTATTTGAAGGGCTACCACGTGGAGGCAGAGGGACTACTTATTTTGTTTGGCTCCAGAGGACAAAGCTAGGAACAATGAGGGCTCAGGGGGAGTTGCAAAACGCAAAATTTGGCTCAGTGTCAGGAAAAATATCCTAATGATCAGAGCTGACCCAAAGTGGAATGGGGTATTCCAAGGAGTGGTGGGTTCTACTTCCCCCCACTCCCATCCCCCATAGAGGTCTTTAAGCAGCAGCTACAAAACCACTTATCAGGTACATTATAACAGAGATTTCTTTTGCCTATGAGTTGGCCTGGATGCTGACTGTGGTCCCTCCCAACCCTCAAATTCTGTGATTTCACAGCTGTGTATCTCATCACTTGTGTTTCATCTAAGGGAGTCAAGCTCAGTAAACGCGTGCTTCCATGCTACTGGCCACAGTCAGACTAAAAGCACTCGTCTGAAGCGGAGCTAGGGTTAGGAGAGCGTCCATAAGAAGACCAAATTGAAGTCGGGACACAAACTTGCTCATTGTTTTTTCCTTGTGGTGGCTTTTCTGGTGTCACCCCTTTAGCAATGTACACTTGTCCAAACACTTTTCACTCACCTGTGTTAAGGCAATGGAACAGTGATATTAAAAATGCCTTTCTGGAATGAATCACATGAGGGTTTGTGCATGTGGGCAGATTCACTTTCCTTAACCAGCTTGGCTCCATCTAATATTCTAAGGAGTGTGAGTTTCCTAGGCCTATATTAGCTTGTTTCAGAGTGGGAAGAGAGGTGGGGATATTGACCTATGAGTTAACATTTTTAGTAGATGATACACAAAGCAAAAAATATGTTTGTGGAGTTGACTTAAATGCCTTATGAGACTTCACCATTGACTTCAGATCCCTTTCTTCAGTGTTACCTAGGGCAGGAGTTACTCTGGCCAGTGGAAAAATTAGGACATTAAGACATAAAGTGGGTTAGTGACTTAACCTTAAGACTTAACATGGTGGTGGGATAGAGGGTTAGGATATAATCCCAGGCCTCTTGACTGCTTCTTTCAGTATATCTCCAGTAGGTTCCTCATTACCTTCCTATACAACATCAAACATCTCTCTATGCTTCATTGATGGTTCCTGACTAGGGTGGGTGGGGAAGCACATTGTTTCTTTGCATTTTTGAAGCTGGAAGGAGGGGTAAGTGATTTGTCAAGGTGAAGTGACATGTGAAACTTTGAAGTTAAAAGTATTTGGCTAGATTTTGGGCCTACCATAGGGATCCTATTCTGGCCTCCCAGAGGGATCCCCACCCCAACTTCCAGAGTGAGGTTAATTGATTGCACCCTGGGGGAAAATAACCACAATAGATCACCTCCTCAGTCTTGAACACTCCCAGTCCCCCAAGTATGTCCTTGGACCTGACCACTTCCCCACCTCTGATCAGTCTCCACCTCCCCATGCCCTCCAACTCTATCCTATGGATGGAAAGAGAATCACTCTCTCCAAAGAAGTGTTCACCTCCTTAGAAGTAGGAGGTGGGATTAAAGTCATCCCTCAGCTCTGTTTTCCAGCTGAAACCAAGTCTAGGTTTGGGATTTAGTAAAGGTCCAGAGGGGGTGGCTGGGTCACAAAGGGGCCCCCTTTCATTTCTAGGCCCATGAGATGACAGGTTCTCTGATATGCAGTCCCTGTGAAAGCTAAAAAGGAGAAAGGAACAGCCTGTACTTTAAAAACACCATCACTCACTTTTCGCACTGAGGCAATAAATCTCTCTGGCAGCTTGCCTGGGATAGAAGTGTAGAGATAATGTCTGGTGTAACCTTGGAGCTGTGGGAGTGAAGGCCGTGTCTGGTATCCCTTAGGTGTCAGTAGGCGTGTGGCACCTGAATGCCCGGGGCAACCATCCAGGAAACAGGACAGAGAGGGAGGGGAATAGGGCTCCTCACGGACTACAGGGTCCGTTCTCAGCCTGGCATTCAAGGCCTTCCATGGTGTGACATCCAATGACATTTCTCTGAGATTGACTCCCATGCTTTCCACTCCAGCCCATTCATCTTTCAGTGCTTAGCTCAAGGCCCATTCTCTTCCATAACTTCCCTCATTACCTCAGGCCTCAAGTAATCTCTCCTCATCTGCAACATTCACAGTACCATTCACTTGGCACTGATTATACTGTCTTGGATTGTTAGGAATTTTTTCCTGTGTTTGTTATTTTATCTACTCAACTAGACTACAAGCACCCTGTGAGCAGGAGATCTTGTAGTTCTTTTGGAGAGGGAAGAGAGCCTCTGATTTTGCAAGCTCTAGCCTTTAGCTGACTTCTGACCAAGTGAGTGGGTCAAGGGACAGTCCCCCTCCCAATCCTAAGGAGGTGGCAAAAAGCTAACAAAAAAACCAAACTGATTTCTAGTTTTTGTTTGAGTTGAAAATGATTTGGCTAAGCTGAGGCCATTTTAACCTATAGTTGAGTACAAAACTAAGCTTTGGTAGTCAATTCTCAATTATTTGCATGTAGTTATATGCTCCATCAAGGGACCCATGGGAAATGTTTATTCACAGGCCGGCTTTTCACAAACATTTTCATTGATTGCCCATCCTACACATGTGGGGTTGGGGGTGACTGACAATTCTGGCTTTTGGATGTTGCCTGAGTTCCTTTTTAAAAGGCTAGGTATTGGGGGGGTCAGGAGTTCTTAGTATTCCTTTTCTACTGTTGACTGCCTGTCCTAAGGGGAACTGAAAGCCCAGAAAGGGAAGTAATTTGTTCTGAGTGTTGCATCTGGGTGGGAACCATGATTCCAAACTATTTGACCACACTCTCTGGGGGGGACATCATGATTTAGGTAGTTTATTTTAAGGGAGATCTAGATTGTCATCCTGGCTCCGTGCTAAGCTCATTGTGCAACCTTGAGCGAGGAACTTCCCCATCTGGTCTTTGGTTTCTCCATGAGAAAAGTAAGGGGTTGGATTAAAGCATGGACTCTCAACCGTGTGTGTGTGTGTGTGTGTGTGTGTGTGTGTGTGTGTGTGTGTGTG